GACCATGATTACAAAGACCAGCATGATCACCAACACCACCATGACCAGCAACATGACAAGTATGATCACAAACAGCACCATGACCAACAACACAAGTATGATCACAAAGACCAGTATGATCACCAACATGACCATGATTACAAAGACCAGCATGATCAACAACATGACCACCATGATCACAAAGACCGACATGATAACCAACACCACCATGAATATCAACATGACAAGTATGATCACCAGCAGGGGCACCATGGTCCCAAAAACCAACATTATCACAAACATCAGCATGATCCCCAACATCACCACCATGATGACCAAAACCAGCATGATCACCAACATGACCGCCATGATCACAAAGGCAAGCATGATCACCACCATGATCAGCATAAACACAAATACCAGCATGATCACAAACATTACCAGCATGATTACAAAGACCAGGATGATAACCAACATGAACACCATGATCACAAAGACAAGCATGATCACCAACATGACCACCATTATCACAAAGACAAGCATGATCACCAACATGACCACCAAGAAAAAGACCAGCATGACCACAAACATGACCACCTTGAACACAAAGACCAGCATGATCACAAACATGACCACCATGAACCCAAAGACCAGCATGATCACCATCATGATCAGCATAAACACAAATACCAGCATGATTACAAACATTACCAGCATGGTTACAAAGACCAGGATGATGATCAACATGAACACCATGATCATAAAGACAAGCCTGATCACCAACATGACCACCATAAAAAAGACCAGCATGATCACAAACATGACCACCATGAACACAAAGACCAGCATAATCACAAAGACCAACATGATCACCAACATGAACATGAACACCACAATAACTACTACAAACAAAAGCACCATCATGATCACCAACATCAGTACAAACACAAACACAACCACCATGACAATCATGACCATCATGACCAACATGAACATTCAACATACCTTGATCACTATAGTGACAGTACCCATGACCAACACAAACATAATAATCATCATGACAATGATCATCAACACAACCACCAACATGACCACCATGATCACCAACACCTGCATAAACACCATCATAACAACCACAAACATGGCTCTCATGAACACAAGCACAAGTATGATCACAACAACCAGAAAGGCCACCACCATGCACAGCATAAGCATCATGACTACCACAATAACAAAGATGGCCACAATATTGATAACAAAAATGAAGATGAACACCATGACCACCGCAATCAGCAACACCATCATCATCACAAACAGCATAAAAATCAAAATGGGCATCACAACCACCATGATCACAAAAATGATCACCAGGAGCACAACACTGATCACAGTGACCACTATGATCACAAAGGCAAGCATGACCACCAACATGACCACAATGATGACAAAGACCACCATGATCACCAGCACGACCACCATGATCACAAAGACAAGCATGATCACCAGCATGACCACCATAAAAAAGACCAGCATGATCACCAACACCACCATGAACACCAACATGACAAGCATGATCACCAACAGCACCATAACCAGCAACATGACAAGTATGATTACAAAGACCAGTATGATCACCAACAGCACCATGATTACAAAGACCAGCAGGATCACCAACACCACCATGAACACCAACATGGCAAGCATGATCACAAAGACCAGCATGATCCCCAACACCACCATGAACACCAACATGGCAAATTTGATCACCAGCATGGGAACCATGATCACAAAAATCAACATTATCACAAACACCAACATGATGACAAAAACCAACATGATCACCAACATCACCAGCATGATCACAAAGACAAGCATGATCACAAATATGACCTCCATGAAAACAAAGACCAGCATGAACACGAAGAACAGCATGTTCACCAACATGACCACCATGATCACAAAGACCAGCATGATCACCAACATGAACATGAACATGAACATCATAATGACTACTACAAACAAAAGCACCTCCGAGATCACCAACATCAGCACAAACACAAACACGACCACCATGACTATCATGACCATCATGACCAACATGAACATTCAAAATTCCTTTATCTTTACAGTGACAATAGCCATGACCACCACAAACATAATAATCATCATGACCGTGATCACCAACACGACCACTATGATCACCAACACCTGGATAAACACCATCATAACCACCACAAACATGGCTACCATGAACACAAACACAAGTATGATCACAAAAACCAGAAAGACCAGCAACATGCACAGCATAAGCACCATGACTATCACAATAACAAAGATGACCACTATAATGATCACAACAATGAAGATGAACATCATGACCACCACAATCAGCAACACCATCATCATCACAAACAGCATAAAAATCAACATGGGCATCACAACCACAGAGATCACAAAAATGATCACCAGGAACACTACAATGATCACAATGACCACCATGATCACAAAGACAAGCATGATCACCAATATGACCACTATGCTCACAAAGACGACCGCCATGATCAAAAAGACAAGCGTGATCACCAACATGACAACCATAGAAAAGACCAGCAGGATCACCAACATGACCACCATGATCACAAAGACAAGCATCATGACAAAGACCAGCATGATCACAAACATGACCAAAATTATCACAAAGACAAGCATGATCACCAACATGACCACCATTATCACAAAGACAAGCATGATCACCAACATGACTACCATGACAAAGACCAACATAATCGAAAATATGACCACCATGATCACAAAGACAAGCATGATCACCAACATGACCACCATTATCACAAAGACAAGCATGATCACCAACATGACTACCATGACAAAGACCAGCATAATCGCCAGTATGACCAGCATGATCACAAAGACAAGCATGATCACCAACATGACCACCATTATCACAAAGACAAGCATGATCACCAACATGACTACCATGACAAAGACCAGCATAATCGCCAGTATGACCAGCATGATCACAAAGACAAGCATGATCACCAACATGACCACCATTATCACAAAGACAAGCATGATCACCAACATGACCACCTTTATCACAAAGACAAGCATGATCACCAACATGACAACCATGACAAAGACCAGCATAATCGTCAATATGACCACCATGATCACAAAGACAAGTATGATCACCAACATGATCACCACGACCACAAAGACCAACATGATCACCAGCATGACCACCATGATCACAAAGACAAGCATGATCACCAACATGACCACCATTATCACAAAGACAAGCATGATCAC